CACAGCAGAGACTGGGAAAGCCGGGCACCACAACAGTCCCGCGACTCAGCTGGCATTTGGTGAACTCTGGCTGTGGGTTGTGAAGGGTGTTTGTGCCAGGAGTTACATAAGCTTCGCCAGCTCTCTCATAGATGTTTGCTGTTGTTGGATTTTATTTTCCTTCCAAGACGGGGGCTTGCCATGCAGCTCTGGCTGGCCTCTGTGACTTGTGACCATCTGTGTAGCTATGGTTGGCCTCAAATTCATGATCCTCTTGCCTCTGCCTCCCAAGTACTGATATTATGAGTGTGTATCACTGCCACTTGCTTAAGAATCTAATTTTGTCAACCTCCCTGAGGAGTCTATCATCTCGTCTAGCTGACTTATTTCCTCCAATTGTTAGAAAGGAATGGTTCCCATAATGCCCACCTCTTACCTGGCTTTCAGATACGAAAACCTTGGAAAAATGATTTCAGGTATAAATGAAAGACCTTGGGCTGGGATTATAGCTCAGTAATAGAGCAATTACCTAGCCATGGCTTTGGTCCCATCTCTACCATGTGTTCTCTCTGTCTGTCTTTGTCTGTCTGTCTGTCTGTCTGTCTCTCTCTCTCTCTCTTTCTCTCTGTCTCCAGAGGGTTTGGAAAAATTAGTCTAAATTAACCTGAATTCTAAACCTTGTGTCTCCTGACCAGCCTTGTCCACATAATGCATATTCCTCTCCTGGGAACATGGCTTTCTGTTGGGGAACCACAGAACACGTTCACATACATTCTTGAGAACACACTGGAGTCCGGATCTTTCCAGACATATGCTTCTCAGTCTAAGCCCCAGATTTAACTCACATGCCCATGCCTCTAGATCAAGAGAGGATGATTTGTGCCATTGATTTAGGCACAAAACAGCACAGAAGGTTACATCTATGACCCACACTTTTCTGGAAGTCTCCCCAGTTTGTCACCCAGAAATAAGAAACACTGATCCCTCCACAACCTAACATACAGATGCGGTGACCTTGTATGTGGGCTCGACACCAGGTTGAAATGGGCAGGTGACACTTAGTCTAGGGTACTGTGCCCATAAGAGGGAGCCTGTTCCTCACTCCACTGATTAAATTAGGGGACAAGAAAATGTTGTCTGTGCCACAGTTTCAGAGCTAGGAAAGCAAAATAAATGTCCTAGGGTAAACCATGGCTTACTGTGCTATTTGTAGGGATTAATTTGTTTGCACAAGAGATGTGGAAGTTAGCTGGGCATGGCGGTGCACACCTGTAGTACCAGCACTGGGAAGGCTGAGTGAGTCAGAAGGATCATGAGTCTGAGGCCATCCCAGGCTACACGGTGAAACCCTATCTCAACAAAACAAGAAAACCTACAATATAACTGGGTGTGGAGACTCCTTTAATTTCAGGAGGCAGAGGCAGATAGGTATCTGTGAGTATGAGTTCCAGGCTAGCTAGGGCTATATAGGGCTATAAAAAGATCTTTTTTCAAAACAAAAAACAAATTAACAACAACAACAGCAACAAAAAAAAACCCACAACAATTTAAAATTCTGTTCAGGGTCTGAGTATATGGACTATTGGCACACTTATACCACGGAGTACCAGTTAGAAAAGTATCCCGTATGTGTATATGTATGCCCTCATGCATACATGCAGAATGAAGATAGATTGATAAGCCATGTGAGTGGGGAAAGCCAGAAGCAAATGTATACATACATACACAGCTACTACAATCCTATGTATGATAGGAGCCATGTGCACACAGCACACACGTACAAATACGTCATTCCTGTATGCAACACTGATTTAGATACAGAAGATACAGTGGATATAGAAGAAAGCTCTGGCAGGGTGCATAAGACAGGAACTGTGCCCTGTGTTTTGCCCAGGGTGTGAGCTCAGGTGAAGCTTGGGGAGATCGTGATTCCTATATGCCACCATTCAACAGTGTCTGGATTCCGAATCCATGTGTGCACATCACATTTGTGGTCAGAACAAAGCCAGCCTGCTGTGAGATGTTCTGTATGTCCTGTGGGACCCTGTTCTTGGGTTCCTCCTGGCTTTACCCAGCAGGTCCGCATAGAGGATGATTAGGACCAC